GAGTAACTTGAAGTAACTGAGTTACTTTTGAGAGAAGTAACTAGTAATGTAACTAAGTTACTATTTTAAAGTAACTTACCCAACACTGATGACCAATGACTATTTAGATCGCTTAGAGTGGTTTTGTGAAACTGCAAGTCAATGACTTTCAGATGAAGTGTTGTACATTTATTTTTCATTTACAGGTTTATCTTAAAGGTTTTTCCATTTGGTTGTTCGGTAATGTCCGTAAAAAGTATGAATGTTACTGAACTCTTACCTAGGATGAGTAGCCAATGAGCTGCAGATGCTCCACGGGCAAAGTTACAAAACTTTATGATCACACATTGTGTATGTTTGATGTGGAACATTCGCCCTGTTATTCATTTCTTTTTAGGCCAGAACAAGTCCAGTAAGTAAAATACACACAAATCAAGCTCTGACAGTGATGACAGGAGTTTTGCACACAAAGAAAATCTCATCAAAGCAAAAATATTAATCCAGAGGTGCTGGAGGGTTGTCCTGGTACATATTTGGCACAAAAATGTAAAAACACTGGTCCAGCCTGCTGAATATAAAGTGCTCTTTTTTTCAGATTTTGAAAGGCTTGTGTTTTGTTTTGTTTTTGTTTTTGTGGTGAGTGCCTGCCTCATACTCTTAAAGCCTGTAAGTGAGATCTAAAATGGTAGGTTAAACAAATGGCAGTGATTTTCCTTCCTCATGTGAAAGTGTGTAAATAACACACCCAAAACTCAACAAGACTTTAAACCACAGAGAGCTCTGCAGTGCCTGCTGTGATGCAGCCATTTGCTGCTGCTTCACCCTAATCCTGTTTAAACACAATATGCTGGCTCAGCAGGTAGAAGTGTGGCAGCTCTGTTTGTGTTTCATCCACAGGGTCTCATGACAGCATTTTGTTTTTGTAGCCCTTTGGTGCACACAAGTCTCACAGGATACAGGTGTAAATGTGAGCTAAAACAGGCCAGTGTTTAGTTATTGTCATTGGTGATCTGCTGGTGATATTACAAGAATTTGTAATACAGACATTCTAAATAAACACAAAAACTAGTAGATTTTCCTTTCAAATAGACTCGCTAAAACAAACAGGCTAGTAGGGGGACAGACAGCAGGGTGTGTGGTGCATAGTCCATTTAAAGCTGTGTTAGTACGATTAATTGCATCCTGACAATAACTGAATGAGATTATCGAAGGAGTACAAATACCAAGGCTCTTGTCAATGTTAGTGTATGCAATAAGAATTTTCCTTCAACCACGGTTTGACAGCTCCGAGCTGTTCCCAGACCTGATCAGAGGATGCTGGCTCACGGCATGACTGCCATGAAAGCAGCCTGCAGAACCTGAGGTGGGGGGCTGTTTAAATGGTAGTCAGCATGTCCAAAAACCAACACATCCAAATGTAACATAAATAAATAAAAATAGTAATAATGATATCTAAGCCACTTGAATATTTTAACTTTAAGCTAATATATACAAACTAACTTATATTTTATCCATCTTTAACAGTTGCCACACAAAGAAGGATTATAAAAGTAAAAAGATGAATCTAAATACTGACTGCACGAGTCTGAAATCACAGTTTTGTTAGGGCCTTATCATTACTACTGTACACCAGTGTTGGTCAAGTTACTTGAAAAAAGTAATCAGTAACTAATTACTGATTACTTCCCCCAAAAAGTAATCCCGTTACTTTACCGATTACTTATTTTCAAAAGTAATTAATTACTTAGTTACTTAGTTACTTTTTAAAAACACGATTTACAACCTGAATAGGTGATAAAGCGATCGATATTTAGCCCAGTTCTACTTTTTCTGCATAATCCATCATACAAAATGTAATCAAATGGAAAAGTCTCTTTTAAAAACTTGTTTTATTAGTTTTAATCTTTTAACTTTATGCATCAAGCAAAAATTTAATTATATGCAACATTCTCTGACTGGAAGAAATTTGTTTAATATTTAAACTTATTTTCTGCACATTCCAGCACATAAAATAATTTTTTTGTGTGTTTACACTCACTCTTTCAAATAGATGCAAGTAAAACACAGCAGAAAATAAATAAATGGTAAATGGCCTGTATTTGTATAGCGCTTTTTCTAGTCCCTAAGGACCCCAAAGCGCTTTACACAACCTGTCATCCACCCATTCACACACACATTCACACACTGGTGATGGCAAGCTAGAATGTAGCCACAGTCACCCTGGGGCGCACTGACAGAGGCGAGGCTGCCGGACACTGGCGCCACCAGTGTCGGGCAGCAATAAAGTCAAAGACTAGCAGTCCTGTTGCTCTATTTTCACCTGTAAAGCAGGAGTGCGGTAGGCGGAGGTTCACCCTAGTGCAGGTGTTCCGCGGCGGTCAGTGGAAGAATCCGCGAGTTTCTCTGTGAGTTTCCCACTATGTCAAAGCGCACTCGGTGCTTGCTTGGAAGTTTAGGGGTTTTTCACTGTAAAAAGAAGTTTTCTTCCCACGCACAACGGACGCTAATGTTTTTGTCACTTTTTATGGAATCAAACTCAAAGTAAGGTCAGTACTTCCACGCTTTAAACGCTGCACGCTCATACTCTCTCCCACACTCGATATATTATCCACTGTTGATCTGCACACAGCTGTTGTCACGAACGTCACACTTGCTTACGTCACTGTCATGAGACATTCTCGCAAAAAATCACGGTTTTAGTAACGCAGTAACGCAGCAACGCAGCGTTCCTACGGGAAAGTAACGGTAATCTAATTACTGTTTTCACAATAGTAATCACTTACTTTACTCGTTACTTGAAAAAAGTAATCGGATTACAGTGCCCATCTCTGCTGTACACACATAACTTTTAATAAGTCTATTTTGTCAGTTGTCCTGTTTTTCTGTGTGACTTGCTTTTGTTTCTTTTTATGCTTTAGAATGAACTGACAGATGAAGATTTCAGGTTGGAGGTCACTCAGATCCATAAGGTAGGATCCTGTGTGTTTCTCTGACAGCACTCAGATGTATTACTGTGCAGAAGGCTTCCCTGTTTGATTTCTGTTTGTGTGTAGGACTTCACAATGGAGACGTTTGCAGGGCCTGTGTTTGCCACGCTGCGTGGATCTTTAGGAATGACTGAGCAGGAGTATCAGCAGTCACTCTGCTCTGAAAATTGCTACCTCCAGTTCATCAGCAACTCCAAGAGCAAAGCAGACTTCTTCCTCACGTGAGTTACAACAAATTGGCTGATCATCTGCCAAAATGTACAAGTCTGATAAAGACAGATAAATCTAGCGGGGCCTGCAATAATGAACCCGAGTAATAAACTTTACACACAGATGTGCCCAGTTAAGTAAATGCTGCTTAAAGGGGACTGATTATGCTTTTCATCAGTCAGTTATTTAAGTTTTCCAATTACTTTTGAGTCTATGAAATTGTAGTAAAAATGCTTTAGTTCCGCACATTTTTACCTTATTGGAAATAAGTGTTTCAGTGCTTAAGTATGAAAGCTGAAAGTCTGCATTTGAACTGCATCGGTGTTGTTCTGTTTGAAATTCACTGTGGTGATGTCTCTGTCCAAATATTTATGGACCTAACTGTATATAAGCAGCGGTCTAAGAGTAGCTGTGTATCATAATCATCATAATCATCATCATAGTTTATTTATATAGCACTTTAAAAACACACAAGGCTGACCAAAGTGCTGAACAACAGAAATATAAAAGACACAATAAGAATAATAAATACGATAAAATAATAAACATAGTAATAACAATAAAATATAATTAAATACAAGTCAGTTAACCACTGAGTCAAAGGCCAGGATTTAAAAATCTGGATTTAAAAACCAGCACTGATGTCGATTGCCATTTGTGAAGAGGAAGATTATTCCAAAGCTTTGGAGCCACAATAGAGAACGCTCGGTCTCCTCAGTTTCATCCGTGATTTGGGGACTGAGAGAAACAGCTGCTCAGCTGACCGGAGCAAACGAGTGGGGACATAGGGCTTCAGCAAATCAGACAAATATGCAGATGCCAGACCATTTAAGGATTTAAAAACTAATAGAAGGAGTTTAAAATGAATCCTAAATTCAATTGGAAGCCAGTGCAGGGAGGCCAGAACTAGAGTAATGTGCTCAAATTTCCTTCTACCAGTTTAAATCCGTGCCGCAGCATTCTGTACTAGTTGCAGGCAGCATGGATAACAGTCTCCAAATCACACTTTGAAAGAAAAGGTTTGACCTTCAACAGATGCCTGAGATGATAGAATGATGATTTCACCACCCATTCACGTGTAATTGAGCTCTTCAGGTGAGGGGCCAGAGCAGTAAGGTCGACATCAGGGGTATCAGAGGTACAATTCGGGCTGAACAGAATTGCTTCCATTTTACGTTCATTAAAATTTAAAAGGTTTAGAGCCATCCATGACTTAACATCACTAAGGCAATCAAGCAAGAGTCTAATTGGGGAGCTATCAGAATGACTGAAAGGAAAATAAAGGTGGCAATCATCAGCATATAGATGAAATGAGACTTTGTGTTTTCAAAAGATCGCTCCCAGTGGCAGGAGATACAACGAAAACAGTTATGGCCCAAGAATAGATCCCTGTGGTACACCCCACGACATAGGGGCCACAGAGGACGATGACGAGCCCAACTTAACACAGAAGCTCCCGTTTGAGAGATATGATTTTATTCACAGGACAGCCAAGCCAGAAATGCCCACACAATGCTGGAATTAAGAGATCAGCAGGTTGTGGTCCACTGTGTTGAATGCAGCAGTCATATCCAGTAATATAAGCACTACATGTTTATCACAGTCCATCTCTACCAGAGTGTCATTCATAACCTTTATGAGAGCTGTCTCTGTGTTGTGAAATGGCTTAAAGAAAAATGTCAAACATTTGAGAGTTATTTAGATAATCCATCAGCTGAGCGTGAACAATCTTTTCCAAGATCTTACTCAGAAAAGGAAGTTTAGAGATGGGTCTGAAGTTTGACATAACTGAAATATCTGAGCCTGGCTTCCTAAGTAAGGGATGAATAACTGCATGCTTAAACTCGCTTGGTACTTGATCTGACAAGAGGCTGGTATTAATTATTTTCAGAATATGTGGTCCAACAGTAGGAAACACCTTTTTGAGAAAACGGGGATGAACAACATCATTCGGAGAACCACGTGGTTTAGCATTTAACACAACCTCCTCTAGTTAAGGTAGAACAATTGGTTGGAAAGCAATACACAAATTTGAACAGGGAACATCCACAGCCGGGTCACCAGAAGATAAAGTGGAGGGTCTGAAACTGGCAACCTTATCCACAAAGAAATTAAGAAACTTATTACACATAACCTCAGAAGACTGCAAAAGAACATGATCCTCTGTATTCAGTACAGAATTTATGGTATTATACAAAGCACGAGGGTTATGTGAATTAACAGCAATAAGGTGAGAAAAAAAGGAGTTTTTGGCGGTCTTTACTGCCCTCTGGTAAGCTTTCCAGCTCGTCTTAAGAGCTTCCAGAGAGATGTACAGCCATTATTATCATATTAACAATATGATAATACTGTAAATAATATTGTAAATGTTCTTGTTGGTTACAGACTCTCGCATCACCTTCATAACTTGTATTTGGATTTCATTATTTTAAATTATATAAGCAAAGTTAGATGAATTAGATTGTTAAAATTCTTATTCTTTTCAAATTCTGATAGATGTTCAACTCAACTCAAAAAAACATTGTGTTTTTTGAGTCCACGTGTGTCACTGACAGTGTTGGTCAAGTTACTTGAAAAAAGTAATCAGTAACTAATTACTGATTACTTCCCCAAAAAAGTAATCCCGTTACTTTACTGATTACTT